GACACAATGATAACAAAACTTATTTCCAACAATCTTAAGGATTAGTGATGTACCGTTGCGTACAATCGATTGCTACAAAAAGCGGTATCTCGTCTCGACTGATGGAAGCGGGGGAAGGGAGCGCTATGATCTGTCCCGACTCTCGGCACTCGGCTCTCGAGCTCTGAGCGACGATGAATAATTGTTAGATTAACGAGGCTCAGTCGGCGCACGGAGATAACGATAGTGTTGTGCGATGTCTATCGATAGAACATATGCATTTATTCATCATGGTATTTTAAACATTATGAATATCAAAATTTTGTTGGTTTAAATTGAATAATTAAATATATTTACCTTTCTTAGTAATGGTATACGATGATTCTTACAATATAACGTTAAAGTTTCTAGCTAAGTTTTTTCAATAATCAAAGTCAAAACCTTGTGTTTATTGTATTATAATAAAATATGTAATAATAATCATCAAATAATTGTTAATTATCGATAGAATAATGTTTCTAAATCTGCTTTTAAAGTTAAACAGCCGTTTATTTCTATTTATTTACTTCATTTGTTGATATCAAACTTACGTAATAAAGTTAATTAAAATAGTGTAAACTATCAATGTTATCGATAGTGATTAATTCGAATATTCCCATCTCTAGCCATCAAAGCCGGCACTAATAGGGTCGTGTAGGCTGATCCGCGAACAGCGCGAGCTAATATTGATTGGTGTGCAGCCTGCGTGCTACCTGACTATTGCCAACTATGAGATACAAACATACTGATATCTTCTACTTATATATACAGTAACAGTTGGCGAAGATGATGCTAATTCTTACCGCAATGTGATTATAACATATATTTTTATTGTTTCAACGAACAATGAAAGCCCACGGTAAGATTAGGTTTTATGAACTATTTATGCCTTTAATGCTATTGTTTCTAAAGTGATAATTTGTACAAAACAAAAAGAAATCTTTCGTCAGTCATTTTAGTCTAAAAAGAATGTTTTATTTCCAATTATTATATACTTTAGATTATGTATTTCATTTCATCAGAAATTCAGTAACATAATATTGAGAAGAATGGCTTTACTATTTTTCTGTTCATAATAAATTCATTCACGAAACAAGAGTCCGAATATTTATTTAGTTATTCAAATATGAAATCTACGACATTTCGATAAAGTCTATATTTGCTGTACCGCATGGTCATTGTAGCCTGGAGGGTATACTCGCCGTTGTTATAGGAGCAGAAACATCCAAAGGGAATTACGAGTCTGTTTGCGGACAACGGCCCTTGTTTTGCTTTTTGCTAACATTTTCTCTTATTGGAATAATATTTTAGATCACTAACAACTCAATGTTTATAAATGTTAAATAAAACATACCTGATTACCGTACAGCTCACATATCAACTTTATTTAAGCAGTAATTAACACTAAGAGCCTTCCTTAGTGAATTAAGTAATTAGGAGTGTAGCAGTTAATCAAACAACGACAAAGATAATGACAGGGATATTGATATTGTTTTTTTTTAATACATTTCCCCAAAAACCAACTGTAAATGTCAACTGGGTGGGATGTAGAGAAAAAAATGTTTTTCAAAGTTGTTCTAAATTTAAATAAGAGTACTAATTAATAAATAAATAAGATATAAATTTTTAGAAAGTTATTTCCTTGTACTTAGACTACAGGAAACCGGAAACTCATTAATAAAAGCCTGATCAACACATCCGCGTTTGATTGGTAATTTAGTTTACTTGTTGGTTTTTATTGCTGCCAAATTAAGTAGCAATTAGTTAATTTACTTATTGTAAACTTAAATTAAACGACACAAATAAGATTTTTCTTAGCCAATAAACATGTTTAGATTAGCGTAGAATTAGCTTTTTATTAAAGGAACCTAAGGAAAATATTAGCAATATTAATGAAACGCAAAAAGTTACTATATCAATTATTATGGCTAAATTTGATTGTGATATTTGTATAATTAATTAAATAGTTATGTTACAATACAGTAGTGTTTGATTTATAATGTGCAACTTACTGTAATTAATTCGTGCAGGTCAAAGCAGAGAATGGAGATCTGTTTGCTTTGTAATACAGATCCTAAATGAATTAGCCATTGCGTAATCGAGTAGATTATTACAATTGGATAGGCTTACGATAAATTATAACAGTTAATTGTTATTGAATTATGTTTTTGGGATCAAAGTAAGTTATGTAAACCAATTAAGTACTATAAGTAGTATTAATCTGCTCGTAATGTTTATTTTTCTGTACAAAACCTAAATCATCACGAACTGGCAGTAGGCTACGGTCAACTGCCTGTCAACACTGGACAAGTGCACACACTTTTTCTTCTTCACTTCACTTCTTCGCACATATCTTTGAATTTCTTCTCACATATGTGTGTAGATATGTGTGTGAAATAGAATACACATTCTTACATGGCGGTATTCGACCAAGGACTTGCAGATTACAAGTCAAGTGCTTAACTCCTGAGCCGCCGAATAGTTATATGCAGTATATTTGGAATTCCTCGGTCTTAGTAATTGCAGGAAACAATATCATAGCGCTCATAGCTGACCTATACACCAAATAAGCTGCGAGATTAGCGATATCGATAATTAACAGGTACATCCCTAGATAGCGGGCACAATTAGCGCGGCTTTGACATGTCACACATAGCGCGGCATTGTGTCATCCGCCCCGCACACCCCCCGCACACCCCCGCGGGCCTCTAATGCGCAATCAATAATAATTATCATCGTGTTTGCGAGCAAGTGGATTGCATTGTGTTGTTATGTTAAGGTGCGCCGCGGTGACCATGCTTACAACCGGACAAAATCTCCAATTTAAAGTGTTATCTACTTTTTTGAACATATCATTTCATTTACAACATAATGTGGTTTCACTATAAAACATAACGCGAATTTTTCAATAGCGTTTTATTAATATTTTCAATGTGTAAATTAAGTAAATGAAATTGAGACCATCCGGCGTGCGGCTACAACATGGTGACAGTAAATGTTGTCACAGGGCCGGAGTCAAATGTCGCATGTTAGTTGGATTAATTTGCGCGGCAATTAGGCGGAAGTGGCGCTCTGTGCTGTGTTTGCTCGTCTGTCTGTCTGTCTGTCTGCGTCTGTGTCAGCTGTACAGCCGGATAGTAATGAGCGTATGTTTGCTCGCTAATTAACCTTTTGTTCACCGTCTTAAGTCTGTCGTATTATTTATACCTCCTTAGTAATTTTTGACTTTTCGTACAGTAATGGCAATTTAACTCAGGTCTTATTATGTTATGATATTATAAGTACAATTTTGTTCTGGCTGGTTTTTTTTATGTAAAAAATTATTCATACAACGAAATTGACTTTAATTTACTTTAAAAGCAATAAAAGAGCCAAATTTAGTGAAAGTTTGCTTAAATAATAAGTCAAATAAAAATAAGTGAAAGTGTTTTATCAATTTAAAACTTTCCCTTAAGTTTTTTTTTTTATTAGTAAATTATTGATAATAACATTTATAAAATTTATTCGTTATAATAGAAATATATTTACTGATACGTATAATTCCTATTAATAACACTTCCTTAATAACCACTATGACACCATGACACCCACTGTGTCGTTTATTGTAGTCACTTAACACTCGAAAATAGTAATAACTGTGGCAATAAAACTTGAGCAAACAGCGGCTACTAAGCGACCGATAAAAGCAACTCCTAATGTTACCTACGACTTGGGAACATTAATTAAGGATTCCATGACTCCCTGGAGGTCCGGCTTTAATCTGAATTACTCCTCATATTGAAACTGTTGTTGTGTTTGTAACATTAATTATGTAAGAAAGATAATCCTCATTGTACGAATTGAATAAACTAGTTACTTAAGTTTAATTGCAACCTCTATCGAGCTTGTGATACTGAACAGTTAACGTTAGCCAATATTTTAGTCTCTTATTGCTGCACATAATTAGTGTTCTCCTTTATCGACTGAAAAAATTACACTAAGGGCCTTCTTTAGGATTTAATTACGAGTGTTGAGTTCCGCAGTTATATTTCTAAGTAACGTAGGAGACGTACAAGAATGATGTGTGGTGAACGTTTATCGTGGTAGTGGCGCGGGGTGTGCTGGGCGCGGGGTGCGGGGTGTGGGATGCGCGGGGTGCGGGGTCCCAGTGCGTTTCGCTAACGCAACATCAATCCCGAGGGAATCAAGCCGTGTCGCCTATTAATTCATCCGCCGACGTATCGATTGTGTGCAGGGCTGTACAACACTAAAATGATTAATTGTTTTACAATAAAGTTCATTTTTCAGCTTTTTGCATTGTAAGCTTCTATAAAAATCCTTGTTTAGTTACTTGTTAAATAACAATTCTTATCACTTTTCTCATTTTAACGACTAAAAATAACGCACAAATCTAACAGATTATTATTTTATTTGTAGAATACTTATATTACAATATTCAGTTTTACAATGAAAGTTTTCCATCCGGAAAATTGGAAACATCTTCAGGGTTTTCAGTTTCCGTTGTTCAAACAATAAAATTTTAACTAATTCTAATTAATACAAGATATTAAAGTTAGTGTATAGATAAGGCTTCGCAGCCCTGACTCCGGGGCTGGCTCCGGGGCTGGGTCCGGGTCCCGGGGGCGGGCATCGATCAGCTCGTAATTAACCGTTTGTTACTCGATACATTTGTGTTATCCCACACGCACACATACACACACGGATTATATTACTGAACACATTTGATGCGGGGCGAGGGAAGGGGGGAGCGAGGGGGGGGTTCAACTGTAACCACAACAATTGTCTTAACGATTGTACACTGTACGTTGCGCATATTTTTGAATACAAATTACAATAAGAACAGTTTGCATAGAACTGTACGTTATTTAAGTTTCGCAATAGTTTCTATTACCTAATTAAGTTGACAACTTTGCCATTTGATTTAGCAAGAGTTAGTAAAATTAATAAACATTGTATTTAGAAGAGCTTTTAATATTTTCCAGGTAAAAATATGGTTTCAAAATAGAAGAACGAAATGGAAGAAGAAAGACAACGTGACGAATGCGGAGGTGGCAGAAATAAAGCAGCAGAACAAGCCCATCGGAGAAGAGAAGAAGCCAGAGGATGTTAAAGAAGATCCGCTAGCACTAGACATGTCTAAGAAGAATTGTAATAAAATATTAAACGAGAAATTAAGAAGTACAAAGCAATTAGTGCAGACTGTTGTCCCTAAACCTAGGAGGGTAGAGAAGGGGGTAGTTTTAGAAAGTATATGTGACTCAAATGATATAGAAAGTAGAATTTCAATAACAAAGATAACTAACAAATTATCTAATACTGAGCTGGCGGGAGAGAACAAAGTATCAGTTAAAAGTTTTAGTCCCGAAGAAGTTAAAGACATGAAATTTGATAATCTGAGTAGGGACGTCGAAATGTGAGGGCTTTAAGTTTATAGATCGTGAGCCCTTTGCGAAATCTCATAGCTTTTAGCTAGAATTTTTTTCCTACTACTACACCTATCCTATTACTACATGAAACTCAAAGCCTTACTTAAGTATATTACCTGTATCTTAGAAAAAAGACTTATTTTCAACTATCTTAAAAAGTATCATCAAAAAGCTTTCAAATTAGATTTCCAACAAAGAAACAATGCTTATAACATATTAGGAGATTTCGCGATGGCGTCCACGATATAAGTAAATTAAGTCGGACAAAACAAGTATACGATAAGAAACATAGAAGACACCGTCCGTCCGACGCGAGGCCACTGCACGTCAAATAGTCAAAATAACATTTCTTTGAATCAAATAAATCTGTATATATTTATAAAATCAGGAGATAATTTGAACGCTTTTGCTATTTCGTGTGTTCTGTGTACTAACAATTACGTTTGAATGTTTGTTATACAAAATGTATTTATGTGTACGATTGTTATGTAAAAAAAAAACATGATTCTCTTATTGAGATCAAATCAGTACAAAATTATATTCTATAAATTATTCATGTTTATTATAAATTGGCGTAATGAGAAATAATGATACCAAATTGATTGATAAATAAACATTTTGCAAGATCATTTAGAAATGTTACTTTATGCACAAATCGTCTAATGAATACAGTTACATCTTACTTGCATAACCCGTAACTTATACAGGGTGTCCCAAAAGGTTACGTACATAGGAAGGGGGATGATAGAAATGGTCACAAGGGTCACCAGAAAAATAAAATAAAAATTCCCCTATGGGTATTAAAAAAAATAAATTGCATATTTTAAAAAGTTAAAATTTTACACCTTCTGGGGCAATTTTAATTTTCTTTAAAATCTTTGTTAGTTGTATTGTTTTTTTTATTTCATATTGATAAAGGTTTATTGACGATAACATAATAGATTGGTTACAAAATTGCCCCAGAAGGTGTAAAATTTTTAATATTTTAAAATATGCTCTTTATTTTTTTACTACCCAGAGGGGAATTTTTATTTTGTTTTTCTGGTGACCCTTGTGGCCACCCCTATCATCCCCTTTCCTATGTACGTAAACCTTTTGGGACACCCTGTAGAATTCTTTTCGTTGGACCCGTCGATACATTATTATATCTTTGCTATTCCTAAACATAATCTAAAAAGTTTTTTATCATTTACTTTCTATGTAATAAGACGTTACATTCGTTACCATTTCAATTTTTTGTTCCTACTAAATGCTACTGAAAAACAATAAAACATTGAATGGTCATTCAGTACAATACTTTAATTTGGTTTTTGCAGTAAATAATATAATATAACCATAAGAAATTATGTGTTCAAAGTTACTTGTGGACGTGAGATTATGTCAAAGCTAAGAAGAATCTTGCAAGGAAACAGTTTGATGAATTTAAAATTAAATAAATTAAAATAAAACTTGCTCATTTTTTTCAAAATATAAAAAAGTTAACGCAATGAGAAGTACAAAAATGTACAATAAATTAAATAAGAAAATCATTTGAATGTTATTATTAAATAGAAGTTTTTTTTTGCTGAGATTTAAGTTATTTTGTGCAATAATCGCTCTAATTTATTAGTTTCATAAGTACTTATTTTGCAAGCACTGAATATCGTTTGCTCTCTGTTTATATAAACAGTTATATACCTATTATGTATAATAATTTAAGTACCAACAAGTATACGAATTACTTAGTTAAGTTTGCTGGAAATGAAACTACAACTTTCTTGTTAGTTAACGAACTAAATTTATGTATCACCACTAGATGGCGTTATTATGAAAAGTATTTTTTCACATCTTTTAAAAGCCGTTATATGATTTTAATTTCTATATATTGTTAACATAAAAAATATCTTAGAAAAAATAACGATTTTTCCCGCGCTTTTGATCTCACTTTACCAACTTAATCGGTGAAATGTAACAATATATAACATTTCTGAAATTCAATAAAAAGATTAAATAAACCTGAAGTATTTGTAGATTATCATTTGTTTAAATGAATGTAAACAATACAATATATTTATCAATTCATATCAAACAAATGTATACGACAAAATAAATATTTATACGACTAACTTATTTAAGTAACTTGAACAAATATGAAAATTAGAGATTAATTTCGTACAAAATAATTATATACTCTTAGTTAATTTTGTACATCATAAGAGCTCAATCACACGAGATGCTTCAACTCGTGTGGATGAGATCTTATAAAAGCTTTGAAGAATTATTAGCGTAAGTGACCACAACTAGCTCAATACATTTGGTCGGAACGCGTATGTTGAGTTCGTTTGCGCACATGTCTGTCTGTTTGCTTCCTATAGCTGTAAGTCCAAATTGTACATTTATCTATTAGCTCGAAACAAATTTAGTTTTAGACGTTTTCAAGAGCGTATTGATACTGAAGTAGAGTCTAGTATTATAGATTAACGGAATGAAAAAATAAATAGTTTTCCAGAAGTAATTTGTTTTATTATACAAAGACACAATGATATTAAAAATAATTAAGAAAGAAACAATGTAAATTCAGTACTGACCGCACTTTATGCGTTAAAGAATGTGCTTCATAAATAAAAGCTTGCCCCATCCTCTCTCTCGCAGCCGCGAATTTGTTTTGATAGTTTGAAATTATTCCTGTAGATGGGGTGATCTGAAGATTATACAACGGTTCTGCCATCTGTCGGCGATAAAGTACCATGTTATGTAGTTTGCATACTTTAACGGTGTTCCTTTGAAAAACACAGAATAGAATGATACACGTTTGGAACGAAATTGATTGTTGTGAAACAGCGCCATCTATATTTCCAGTTTAGAATGACTTTTACAAAGTCGTCCAAGCGAAGAAAGAATTGGAAAGAAGATTCGCTACATCTGTCCATAGATGGCGCTGATTTGTATATTGCAGACTGCCTGGAAATCAAATAAGTGTAGTTTGTGTTGCTAGTAGATAGATGGTAACACCATTATCCAAATGATAGTAAAATTTGAATATTACTAACAAAACTTTTAATAGTTATTAATGAATCGTTTTAATTAATATATTAAAGAAATATAAAAGACTTCCTGATCGTAACATAGAAGGGTAGAACTTTTTTATTTTATTTAAAATGTTACAGTTCGTACATTTGTTCATTCGCTTGAAGCAGTAAATTAAAATGTATTTCTAATTTAATAATACTTTTAAAAGAAACAGTTTAACTATTGTAATATGTCCTTGGCGTAACATTTCTGTTCGTTTATGTGGCCCAGCATTTTTTGAATGTCGACACCATGAGGAACCTGCAAGCGGTGAACGAGGCATCGTAGTGGTAAGTTGCATTATAAAGTAAATGGTGTGGGGGATTATATTTCTGGTATCAATCAAATGCAAAGATTTATAACAATCAATGTATCAAATGTCTAAAGCAGTTGCATCAATTAGCACAATGATTTCGTTTGAGGAGGATCTCTTCGCTGGCAGGTTGGCATTACTTGGGATTATCTCCAACAAGCCTGTTGCCCGCCGGGGAGTGGGGAAGGGGGGCATTTGTCCAAGACCCAGAGATAACTAATCTTACGTACTGTTAAATTTGTCTTTTCAACTCACTTTTAAACATTATTATGTCGTAAAATAATCTAACTATTTCAATACTATGTATTTAATAGACTCTGAAGTCAGTAGGTGGATCTGGTTGGAGCAACTCTTTGAGTGTCTCTTTGTGCTTAGAGCATTAGCGTAAATTGCTAGAAAACATATAGATGCATTAACTTTTACTAGTCGCGGATGGGTCGATATGCAAATATATTCATAGATTCGCGAAATTTCCTTAAAAAAAAGTTCTTCTTCCAGTATTCATTTATTGTTTAAAATAAAAATCTTACGTCAAAAGTCTGTGCATTTTTCCGGTGTACTTTATGTCGGTGTCAAATCCTTGTTAACAGGGGGCGCGGGTGCGGGCGGTGTAAACGGATGGCTCATTTTATGTTATCAAAATTTCCACCTCGTGTGAATCCCTCCCACTAGTGACAAGTAGGGTGACAATGATAACACTTCTTTGTAATTTGGGCTCACGTATTTTTACTTCATATTATGTTATGGTAGGATATACGGTATTTTAGAAAATAAAAGAGTTTATATTTACTATAAATATAACTTTATTTAATAGCTTTATTTTATTAAATAATAAAAACTTAACATTTGACTAACCGACGTACCGAATGTTCGTTCGAGTTATATTGATATAAATTTCAACAATTTACATATCAGGAAAAACGGCCTTCACAGCGTACAAGATATAAATAAAATTATGTTGTTTACCATATTTTAGGAGATGAAGTACATCTATCAACATTATAGCCTGCTTATGAACAAAAACTGAGACTTAAAATTGAAATTTGTAACTGATATTTCAATTGTCCTAGTCCTAGTTGTAGAAGTATTGACGTGTGGTCACCGCGCGCGGTGCGACTTGATGACTGATCGCCGCGATTACGCCGAGCGTCGGATTAGCCCCAATTTTAAATTGTTGATTACTTTCCTCCCCCCCCCTCCCCCCTTCAACTGGTCCCTCCCTCCACTCACCTAGCACCTGTCCTTTCTCCTCCTCCGCGACTTTCCGCGAATCCTCGCTCCAATGACAGCTTGTTAAAAAATTTAAATTGCTCGCCATCAAATTTGTAAGAATTTATTTAACAATTATATTTATCTTACTTAGATAATATAAATATAATAGTTGCAAACATCAACTTTTCCGACTTAACATTACTTACGGGGAGTTTCAAAATTCATATATAAAACATAATATCTCTGATTATTTCAAACATGATGACATGGATGTTTTATACAAAGATTTTGGTTTCAAAAACCCACGGTTAGTCGTTCAAAAATAGAATATAAAAAAACAAAAGAATAAAAGTTTCCTGCACACGTGCTGTGATGTAATTTTTTAAATGAAGATATAAGTTGTTGTAATTAAGTGGCACTCAGAGGGGAAAACAACACATCCCCTCGCAGGGTCCGGCCTGAGCAGCGATTATACGTGGCTCGGGGTCGGAGGCTAATTGCCGACGCGACGGTAAATCTTGTGACCGACGCCGGCGAGGACCTTACACTTTATCACATGTGGAACTGATACATTTGTACTAGTTCACTGGATAACAATTAAATATACAATAATTAACATTTCTTAAATAGTTAAAAACATTCATAATTGCCCCTTTTAATAAAAATTTGTAAAATTTTGTTTTATCAAATAAAAATGATTAAGGGATGAAATAAATAACGGGTCGCTTTTCCGCGCTATAAATAAACATTAGCAATCTGTTTTATTCAATGTTATCGATTTAAATATCTGGGCCGATATCAAGAATCGAATAATGATTTCTGTCGTAAGCCTATAGATTATAATCGCTATTCAAAGACACGTATAATGCGTTATAATTTGTCAACAAACCGTTTAACATGAATGACTTCCAGTTCAGT